GTCATGTGATAGAAGGTAGATTAATATAAATGGGTTAATTTAAGTTATAAGAGCTAGTTAGGAACAAGTCTAAGCTATAGGCTGAGTTTTCATAATTAATAAGAAGTCTCTGAGTCACTATTTTGGGGCTGGTGGTCCAAAGATAGTCTGACAAGAAAGCTTGCTACATACCGTATCAGACCTCTATCTTGGACTCCGTGGAATCCTCGAAGTGATAAAGTAAACTTCTTGTTTTAGTCAGACAGTCTGTGGTATTTTATTAAGTTAACCAAAGCAAACTAATATCGATACCTACCCACTCAAGGCAATCTCAGTTTAATATTTCTATATATAGAGAGAACTATAGCCCTATGAATTTGTTAGATAAAGCCACAGTGGTTTGTACCAAGTAGAAAATATATAAAATTTGTTGATTTTCTCTAAAATTTAATATGACAGGCTGTTTCATATCCTTTACACATCAACCATCTTCAGAGTTTGGTCAAAAGGGACAAGAAATAGTTACTACTGTTTTTAGATATTCCCTTAAAAATATTGCCTTAACTTTATAAAGAATATTCCCTTCAGCAGGTAGAATTCACATTTCCACTTGTACTTAAAGTTGATAATTTGTTAATATCCTCCTTAGGGATTTGCTTCCTGGGATGACACCTTCAGTGATTTCATCATATTTCAAGTATAATAAAATCTTATTTTATGCTCCAAGGCATGAACAGTACTCAGCATTACTCAATCAGCATAGTACTCATCCTTGTGGCTATTGGGATAAAATTTGACAAGGGAACACACACACACACACACACACACACACACACACACACACACACACACACACACACGACTGGGTCCCAGATGAGGTGTAGAATGTTTTCTTACTTTAAAAACATCGCGGACATCTTCAGGTTTTTTAAATCCTGGTTTTAAAGGGAGGTGGTGGGGGAAGAACCAAGTGGTATAATTGCTTAAATCATTATCATATTAATCCCTTTACCACCTCTTAGAATTCTAAAGATAACTAAGAACTTCACCAAACACAATTTCATTTCTCCCATACACTTTTCTGGGAAAAGGACTCAGCCTCTATATAATTTCAAAAGGAGTAGGTTAAAAAAAAAATCTCTTAGAGAGATTTGTTTTATTGAGCTGAACGAAAGCTCTAGGTCGCGACCCCAGGACAACAGGTGTAACCAACTTTGCCATCCTATGTCTATCTTGTCTCCAGTTGGTTTGCTGATCATTCGTTCCTTGGTTTTATTCCCAGGTATGTTTGCACTGGTTGCTTCCAACATTCCCCCTCCCTTGGTAGTCCTGCTCTTAATGTCACTGTTACATCAGAGTGGCTTTTGAATGGCTGTCTCATTGAGAGCCACTCGCCTCATTCATTAAGACAACCCCCCCCCGCCCCCACTTTTCCTCTCTACTCTTTAGAGCAACCTGACCTTACCGATGCTGGAGCAGCAGCCCATCCCTTTATTCCCTTTGTACTTTGGTCTAGAAACCGTAGATCTGGAGGCAGTACTTTTCAGCGTGTCAGATCATGTTCCCGTACTACCATTCCCAGATGGTATAAAAATCTTTTCCATTCCCGCTTAAAACACGTTGTAAGAAATGGCGCCTACGGTGAGTGCACTCTTAGCTCCTCAAGGAAGAATATTACATAAAACTACCAACGGCCATCTGTGGATGTCAATTATTTTGGTATTTGTGCGTCAAGTGGCAGAGTCCCCTGCACCTGCTATGACCACTGTTTCCCTAAGAGCCTGTACCCCTTGTGTTGCTCATCCCTTGTACTCCCCTCCCCCAAACCCCATTCCAAGCAGACCCCTAGCATGTAACTTCCTCCTACAGCCCCCAGGATGGGGGTAAAGAATCGAACTTCACTCTTTTCCCATAGTCTTCTCAGCAGCACATTCTCAAATCTCTTCCCGTTTGCTTGCAGAACGCGGATGGGTAAGTTCTTCACCCCCTACTAAAAGTTGCCTAAAATCGGTGTCCGGCCCTGGCACCGCCCGGCTCTCAAGACAGAGCGAAGGCTGGCCACGGAGGAGCCGCGATCCCTGGCTTATTTCTAAAGGCAAGCTCGCCTCCCGGAGCGGCGGAGGGAGGCCCCGCAGAGCGCAGCGTCCGCCCGGGGGCAGCTCCGTGGGCCCGGGCCGCCACGGACGCTGA